TCCCTGAGGCAGCCATCTACTAGTAGTCAGTCAACAGACTCATGTTTTCTAAGGTTGCTGGATGCAGAAAGAATACAATCACATCTCTAACACAGAAAATAGGTTTAAAGTTGCTTATGATGAACTGTGACATGAAAGGAAGAACAAAGGTTAGTACTGGGATGATGATTATTCAAGGGCTTTTATCTCTTTTAAGACCAAAGCCAATAGAAAAATAAGAGCCAAGAAATAGGCAGAGATTTTACAAAAATATTACAGATAAATCTAGATTGGTACACACTGCTGAGAAATGTGGTCACAGCCAGTTTTCCAAATATAAGTCTAAATACTTGAGACTAGGTATCTTATAAGGAAAAAAGGTTCAAGGGCTGGAGATGTTGCTCAGTAGTAGAGTGCTTGGTTAGCATATACAAGGTCTTGAGTTCTACCCTCAGCACCATAAAAGAAAAAGAACTGAATAAAGGTTTATTTAGCTCAATGTTTTGAGGGCTGAAAGTCCAAGATCAGGTGGCTCAATCTATTTGTCCTTTCATGAGGGCCACACAGAAGACAGCATCACAGTAGGAGGCATGTATATAGCAGAGATCACACAGTAAGACAGGAAACCAGAGAGATCCAGGGGGACATCTGCTCATTTTATTATAACCTGCTCTTGTAGTAATTAGTTGGGGTCCCACAGAACTATGCTAATTACTTCACAGGGTGGCAGCCCCAATGGCCTAATCACCTTCTCTTAGGCCCCACCTCATAAAGATTTCACCACCTCTTAACATCACCAAGTTGCAATCCAAGCTTCCAACACAGGAACCTTTGGGGGACATGCTCAAGGCATATCAAAACCACAGCACCACCAAGGGAGAGTTTAAGTCTACAAAGTGAACATACCCTAAATCCTTGCTTCATTCTCATCAAATTCCAACAGAAACGACAGGAAAGAATGTCTATGACATCCAAACTCTAGAAGGCAGACCTTGGCTCTGCCCTGAAGTATCACCCTTCCTTTGACAGGAAAACGTTGAAAAGGAAAAAAGAAGGGTCTGATTTGAGTCTACTTAGCTCATACCCCTAGTTTGTCTAACCTGATAAATCTTTCCTCTTCTTCAGGGAGCCACGAATGAGGGTAGAAAGAAAGGCCAGAACGTTTTCTTGTCAGTGGAAATCCATCACGAAAGTAGCCATACAAGCCAGGCATGGTGACACACACCTGTAATGATAGCACTGGGAGTCTGAAGCAGGGGGTCACAAGTTTGAGCCCAACCTGGGAAACTTAGTGACTTAGGGAGACTCTGTCTCAAACAAAAGAAAACAAAGTAGCCAGAGGACTGTCATGGCTCTGTACTGGTGAGAATCACCTGGATGTGTGGTCTTGGACCCAATTCTTCACATTTCTGGGTCTCTGTTTCCTTAGCTGTGAATTGAGATGATGAAGAATTACCCTTATCTTTACTGTATTTTATAGGTATTCTGCATTCATTACACTATATAATGTTCAAAGCCGACACAAAAAGAGAGAGATTAAGTGATCAGGAAGGCTACCTATCCTGCAGTAAACAATTCTGAGGCTGAGAATGACATCCAGGTCCACCTTACCATGAAATCAGTTAAGCCAACTGCTTCTAAAGCCACTTGCAGCTCTCAAATCCTGGTGACTTCCACCAAAAGTGCCCACATGCATTCCTAGAATGTGAGTTCTGCAGTCTCCGAAAATTTCTTTTCAATGTTTACAGACGTCCTCTGAATAGAAACCATGTGTATCATTTCCTGAATTTTCTTTCCCTTTGTGTAACCAGATACTTGGTACAGTGAGTTCATTTTGAATTCAGGAAAATAAAGGCTTGGTATGTAGGCCAATTCCTGGGTTGGCCTGGGTTATGAGACAAAGATCAGATCCCAGCTAGCTACTGGCATAGTTAAAGGGTTCCCTGATATGGCTACTGGTACAGAGCTCATGTACATGTCACCTCACTCTGTCCCTGTGACCTTGTGATGGAAAAATAAGTGTATTCTGAAATCCGTTACAATAAAAGACACATGACCATCAATTCCCCACAAGTCCTCCCCCTTGCTCTGAACACACTTATCCCACCATTCTTGCTACTTTCTGAAGCAGTTTGTGAAGTCTTCTTTCATGTCTTTAGTTGCTCTGTTGTGGCTGCCTTGATGTCCTGAATTTATTAAAAATATTTCCCTTTCACGGTCATTTTGACTTTGGGGAAGAGCCAGAAGTCATATGGTGCCATATCCCGTGAATAAGGCGGACGAGGACACACTGCAGTGTTTTTACCAGGCTGCCATTCTGTTGGATGGCACTTAGCATTCACTGACGTTTTTAGCACACCTCTGTAAAGACACTCACAAAAGAGGACTTCCAGAGCTGCTGCAGAAAGTGGCAAGAAGGATGGGATAAGTGTATTAAAGCGGTAGTGGGGGGATATTTTGAAGGAATTTAATGACAATGTGTCTTTTACCGTAATTAATTTTTTAATTAAGCATTCATTGTATTTTTCGATGACCCCTTATAATAAAATTCCAAAGAGCTGGCTGCAGGCTACATAAGAGAATCCAAATTTATTGTTTCTTGGATGAATCTTATTTGAGGCTTTTGAGAACCTTCTTCGACCTCACTAAACTAGCTTCTTTTCTCAAGATAGACTGTTGAGAAATAAACTTTATGAGACATTTAAAAGAATGTGTTTTTCTGCTGGCGAGATGACGACTGTAAGATTTTAAGTATCTCATTAAGACTTTGGTGCATAATCTTTCAAACATTCAAGGAACATAGCATTTGACTGAGTTATGTACCTTTTCCTTTTCCCATGAAGACACTGCAGTGCCCTGACACTTTTCCCACATCACCCTGGAGCTCTGATTGACTGACAGCTTCAAAAGGCTTCAATGGCCTGGGGATAGATTGTCATTGTGGGGACATTTTTGTATTTGAAATTAAAACTGGAACACAACTCTGAGTTAGAAGAGTAGTGTTTATAACTTAGGTGACACCAAGCTATTCATGATACAGATTCATCACTTTCATGTGTTTGTTATGCTGGACAGACAGAAGCAAGACTTTTCTGAGAATTAGGCATTGGCTCCTTACATCTGTCCATGTAAACGTATTCATTAAAAAAACATTCACTTTCAACCTTCTTTTGGAGGACAGGGAAGGAACAGGATGACTTTTACTCAATCGAATGAGATCCTTTAAATAGATCAGAAGATGTTTAAAATATTTATCTAAAAGGGTCTTTGTGGGCTGGGGATGTGGCTCAGTGGTGGAGAGTTTGCTTTGCATGTGCCAGGCCCTGGGTTCAATCTCCAGCATCATGAAACAAAACAGCCAAAAAAAGTGTAATGACTAAAAGGGTCTTCTATTTAGAGCATGTTGTCTAGAGGGATGCTGGAGCTACCTCACATGCCTCATAGGAGCTGACTGTTAAATATTTGTGAATTTTGTTAGTCAACGGATGCCATGTTAATGGTAGGAGCATTTATATGAAGGACATCAGCAACTGCTTTAAATCAGAGCTTTTACCAGAACACCAGTGATTTTGTCCCTCCTCTTCTTCCTCCTTTTTTTGAGAAAGGGTCTCACCATGTAGTCCAAGCGGGCCTTGAGCTCACTATGTAACCCAAGCTGGCCTTGAACCCCTGCTTCTTCCTTTGCAGTGCTGAGAATACAGGCATGGGCCACCATACCTAGCTTTGGCTTGTCTTAAAAAATGCAAGCAATCAACATTATATGTGAAATGCATCTCATGTCATTTTTAAGACAGTGGACTCCCCTCAAAAGACACTTTGTCCTATGCGCTACACAGACTACTTAATAAAAGAAAGTAAAGTGGAAATACTAAGCACAGGAGTGTGACACTGACAATGAGGTCGCTAGGAGTCCAAAGAAGGGAGAAAGGTATAGGCTCAAATATGGCAGAGACTGAATGGATATATTGGCATTGAGCTAGGCCTCAAAAGACAGGAAAATGGGTAAACAGGCAAAAAGCAAGTCACAAAAAATGTAGCAGGCAGGTAGAAGGAATCAAATCTATCATGAAAAAGAAAAGCAAGCATATCCAGGCATGGTGGGACAAGCCTGTAATCCCAGCACTTGGGAACTGAGGTAGGAGGATTGCAAGTTTCAATCCGGCCTGGGCAACTTAGTGACTTTGTAAGATATTGAATCAAAATAAAATTTAAAAAATTTTAAACTTTAATTATTGAAAGAGAAAAAGAAGCAATCTTACAACCAAGATTGGAACTTATCATCCTGAAATGCTCAGGATAATTCTTAGGAGAGCAAGTAGGAAGAATTTTGGTGAAAATGGCACCATAAGCTAGGTGTAGTGGTACACGCCTTTGATTCCAGGAATTGGGAGGCTGGGGCAGGAGGATCACAAATTAGAGGCTGGCTATGTAGTGAGTGAGACCCTGTCTCAAAAAATCAGAACAAAATGACAGTAAAATAAAGGAGGAAGAGGAGGAGGAGGAGTAAGAAGAAGAGGAGGAGAGGAAGAAGGAGGGAAGGAAGAGGAGGAGGAAGAGAAAAACAAGCAAGGAGCAAGAGAACACAGTGGTATGGGAACAACATGTAACTGTGACACGGCTGTGTTGGTGAGGCTTTTCTCCTATATCACCTCACTCTGATCGCCTGAGACACGACAGCAGCTAAGGCTCAGAGAAGCAGTGCAGCACAGCTGTATAAGCCCATGGTCAGAACAAAAAGTTTGTCTTCTATTCCTGGCTCAGCATTCTCCCTACACAACCATGTTGGCTCTGCTCATCTACATTTTAAACCATGTAATACAGGAAAGCAGCAATGAAAATGAATTTTAAACAAGTAATATATTTGACACATTCTGGTTTACTTTAAATGTGTAGATGATGTTCTGCTTGGCTTTGAATGACAGTCAGGAGTAACTGCCAAGTATAATTGCTTTGAAAAGTTCAGATATAGTTTCTCTGCAAGGCGTCCAATATACCAAACCCACAGACTTACTGTATTCAACTTGAAATCTTGACAGGAAACAGAATTATAACCCCAGCTCGATTTCTAAGAAAAAGAAAACACAGAGCAAGTAAAAAATAGTGTTATCTAAACTATTGGGCTGGATTCTTAGATCCTGAGAGGCAACTTTTCTAAAAGAAATATTTTTGTTCTTCTCCCCATACCATACACTAAACCTCAAAAGGGATAAATAAGATCTGCACTTTTGAATTTAAAATTTTTCCAGTAACCCAAATCTCACATAGTACGGAATGAAAGAAACCAGACCCAAGAACAATACTTTATGATTTCATTTCTATAAAGAGTGAAAGTCCAGGGATATTAGTTTCTACTGTTAGAAGTCAGGGCTGGGGATTTGGCTCAGTGGTTCTGCCCCCTGCCTCGAAAGCATAAGAGCTTGGAGTTCGATCCCGAACTCCAAAAAAAAAAGTCAGCCTTGCAGCTATCCTTGATGGAGGGGGTGGGGACAAAAAAAGGTCAAAAGAGTTCCCTTTCTCAGCAGCAACTATGCTAACTTAATAAAAATTCATCAAGTAATTTATATGTAAATATAGAAGTTGTGTTTTTTCCTGTATGTGTTAGACTTCAGTAAAAGGTATTTGAATATGTCCTGCATCCTTAAACAGGATAGAGTTAGGATTACAATGCCTTAAGAGACAGATTGTTTGACAGTGGAAAAATGCTCTATAATGACAGAATGAAGTATTGGGCGCCTGGAAGGGAAGAAAGCCAGGTAAAGAAAAGCACCAGTACTTTCCATCTTTCCAAAAGAGAGGCAGAATCTAGCTAAGGGACACTTGAGGAGATTAGAGATAGGATAAGAGGCCCTAGATGGCACAGTATATACTATTACAATAAAACAGAGTCAGGATCTTGCTCACCCTGGGGCTGTTTTCCTATAATTCAGCAGATTGGTTGCCCTTTGAGACTGATTTCATTCAGAAAGAAATCATGTCAGATAAAGATGGTAAAGTCCATGCCCATGGAGGCAAAATGAAATAGACACTTAATTACTAGTCCTTTAATGAATGAGATAGGATTCACAAAGTGAGGTGTAGGACCCCTCAACTCTCATTAACTTTAGCAGACACTCTGGATCATATGATTTTTTTTATCAGAGAGAGGCGATCCTCCTTCTGGGTCTTCCAATGTATAGTTATACAAGTTAGCTCATTAGAAAGATCTTTACTGTCTTAGGTTGGTCTCCTACCTCCTATACAAAATACCATCCAAGGTATACCTTGGAGCAATGTCTGATCTTTTCTCCTATTCACAGAATTCACTGGTGGTTTCTAAATCCATAGGAGCCTTCTCAAAATAAGTGTTCAGTGTATGTGCTGTCAAAGTGAGCACAGAATAAGTGTTTAAATGAATAAATAAAATGTATGAACTTACACAGAGAACCACTTCAACTATATTGTTATAAAATATTATAAAACTTGAGTATAGCAACATATATGTAAGCTTTTTTTTTTTTTTTT